CCAATTCAAGTTTTGTGCAAAAACGCATGGTCGCACCGGCTCGCCTGGTGCGTTCCAGCCTGGGTTCATCAAGCATCCCCTGGTACTGGCAAAACGCATGTCACTGCTGCTTATGCGCAGCAACTCCTCATCTGGAACGGAGGCCTGTCAACGACCACAAGCAGCGTTATTAGCACTATGACGACAACAGCTTTCCGACTGCTCGCAGACTTGCCTTGACTCATAAATGATCTTTCTTCAAGGTTTGGCAGGGGAGAAAACCTACGATATTGCCAGTGATGCGAAGCACGACAGATGGAAGAAGCAGCACTGGCTCCTTGAAATCCTTCAGACTGTTCACGATAGCCAAGCTATTCCGCAGGACCTCCTCCCCAACATCGTGAAGAGCCCGGAGGATTTCAAGGAGTCGATGCTGTCATGAACAGTCTGCCAGCCCTTTCATTCCTTTCCAAAACTGCTAGTGCCACTGATGCTCCGAGGATGAGGGTTGACTTCAGGGCAACAATGCTGAAGCGTTGATCTGCCGGTAGATAAATGATTCGATTTAAGTTAACAACGTAACAGACCTTAAATTTTTGCAAATATCAATATCAATAGCCAATGTTGCAAAAATCTAATTAAATGATTCCATGAACGACACATCATTTTCGAAAGAAATGCAAGCAATAAAATCGTAACTTCCTCGCAAGCAATAACAGATTATGTAGAAAGTTAAAAACCTACGAAAACTAAACTTATTGATTTCATTAACGAAAGTTTGGTAGAAATTTCCAAAATTCATAAGCCACTGGCTGATAAGACTGCCGATGGCTGTTCTTCCGAGGTTTGCATAAAAATAAGTTGATGGCGTGTTTGGCTCCCTGTCCATGTGCTACTTCTAATTTGCCGTCGGAACGAATGAAAGACTCGTGGAAGGATTGGCTGTCCCACTGACGGAATGGGAACCTTGACTTCAAAAGCAGAGTCCAAGGAACATGAAAAGGGAATTTCCCATTTGGTATTTACAGTACAGCGAGGGATGCAGCCACAGTTACTATCTTCTACGCAAAATGTTTTTTTACATCGGGACAAGGAACTGTGATAACCGCGGTGCAGCATCACTTAATGGCAGAACGAGATTTTAGTACCGATGATGGCAAGTACTTTTAGTTCAACCCTGGCACACAGTTCTTCTTTCTAGCACTGCTTATAAATGATCTGCAATACACAACGAAGCTATTCGAAGCATTGGGTTTTGGCAGGCAGTGTGGATATGCCACGATCAGCTGTCTAATCAGTGTTGCACGATTCGCTATCGCCTCCTACGGAAATCGTACTCGGGAAGATCGCCGCGTTTCGCAGCACTTTCCGTATCTGAAAAAAAAGTGGATGAACAGTCCTGCAGCCACGTACGCTGCTGAAGAGGTATGAACGAGTGAGGAGTGAGGAAAGTGGGACAAGCAAATAACGCTTTTTTTGTTTTCTCTCACGAAGCGCGAAGACATCATTTTATAAAGAGCCATTATTGCCCCTAGACATAATACATTTATATCTTTATGTATTGTTGTTTATAAGTCTAATTTTTTGGTAGAGGAATCGGCCCCATTATTGAATGCTGTCTACAACTACTTCGAGACTTCTAACAAAAAAAGCCAGAATGGAAAAGTCAGACGCACCAAGTTGCTCCTGTTGACAAGTTGCACCAAGATATCCAGGCGCACAGGTACATCGGCCAGTGATCCGATCGCACGAAGCGCCGTTGTAACATTCGCAGCGCTGCTCGCAGTTTTTACCAAATCGCCCTGGACGACAAGCTGAAAACAGTAAAATTTTACAATACTTGACTGATGAGCAAAGCTGCGTGTCGGTGTCACAGCGGAATGTTTAGAAAGAAATCACATATTTTGGTGATTTTATGTGAGTAAGGCACAAAACAAGGAGAATGAAAAAGTTTTCAGCTGCATCAATGGCGAAGAGAAAAGCAACGATCGGTCAGCACCTGATCAAGTTAACGAAATAAGCGTCTTACTAACCTTTACCTATTCTTGAAGGTTTCAAAAAAAAGGCGTTTCAGAAAAGACAGTTCCCACGATAAATAAAAAATCGCTACAAAAAGCCGTGAAAGTTACAAGTGAAGAGCTGTATTTACGAAAAAATATGCAAATCAACACATGTTGCGAACAACAACGAACGACGGCTCTGGCCGACATTTTAGGATGTAGGCCAGGAGAGCAGAATGCAGTGTTGTGGAAAGGGGGACAGCAGACTCGGGCTGGGACTCGGGCTTTGGCTATCCGAGTGCTTGCTAGGACACATTTGATTTAGCCACTGCTGCTGCTGCTGGGCTGAGGTTGTGTATTTATCATCAGCCGCGACGGATCCACGCTAGCAGACCCAATGATCGTGCTCTTGTCAGTTCTGTTTGTTAGCTTCGGAAAGTACCAAACTCACGAGCTAGGACAAATTCAAGGAATTACGAAGCATTCCCATGACTGAGAAATTCACTTTCATACTTTGGTTATCTGTTTCTTCGCCGTTGCATTCCTTCTCACCATTGACGATTCAGACTGTACGACTACAGCCGTCAAAAGCTACCTTGCTTACAGCTTGCGCCATGCAGTCCTAGTGGACAGTCGCATTTCCCGGTTTTGGAATCGCATTGAAATTCACCACAGTCGCAATGAAGCTGGCAGTGTGGGCCATATGTGTTGTTTGTACAGGATTGTTCGCACTAAATGTAGTATTGAACTTCAAGGCTGCTTTCAATAGCCAAATTGACTCTAGAAAATTAAAGTACAATTTCACTCATGACTTGTCACTGCCGAATTTTCGCCTTCACATAAACCCGAATTGAGACTCTGCTACAGGTCGCTGCTGCTTTAAGTCCGAACAAAGCTTTTTGCAGCTGTGACATTTCTGGACTAGTTAACTCATTATGACAACAGCTACTGGGCTTCTAAAAGCAATTAGGCTGCACTGGTGATTCCCATTCTTACTCGTCCCCCGCGCTGTACCTGTGTTTATAGTTGAGAAATCAAACAAAGACTGCTGTTTAGTGTGCCTATTGGCCCATGCAGTCCTTAACAGTTGAAAATGTGCTTTATTAGATATAGATTCTGATTTATTTCTAACAATTATTAAACTTTGCAAGAATTTGCTGTAAAGTAGCACTGCGGATAAAAAATCATTGGCGACGCGCATTGGGCGGGCCCGTGCCATCATGCGTTTTTGCAGTGTTTCGTGCTATAATAAGATCACTCGAAATCCCGCTAGCTAGAAACCTCTGACTTACTGGTCCTCGAATTTCGGGAA